TGAATGTCTGGAGGTGTAGGCACCTCGGAATGATTGTGTTAAGCTAGCACTAAGTCCCTTCCCCGTCCACCTTTATTCTTTTCTTTACAATAAGGCTTTCAAATAAGTCATGGTTGTACGGCAGTGAAGCACTGGCGTTGAACACTGATGTCATGCTGTCGTTGATGATGATGATGATGATGATGTTTGAAAGGCTAGTCAACAGTCACAGACACAGGAAAGTGAGACGCACGAATGATGAGTAAACAGTCAACTCTGACGAAATACTTGTAAAAGCCTGTGAACATTGACCACATAGAAGCTCGCAGTAGTTAGTTGGCACAATTCAAATTTCTCGTTACAGCGGTTCTCCTTTCAACCACGTCAAAAGGTTGGCTCTACTCAGTTCGGTGGTGTGGAATGAGAACGCCACACCACAATCCTATGACGGTAAACTATATGCTAGGTGCTTGCCAGATTCTGCGGTTAATTGGTGAAGAACATCATGGTTGAGCAGCTGGCTCAAAAAATTGGAACCGTCGAGTTATATTGGACATCATTTGCACAGTGATGTTGGAGGCCCAATTTTGCTGATCTACCGGGAAACCTCAAAATGAAAAAGTCATATAGCTAAATAACTTAGTATAAGTCAACGGGGCGTAACACCTGCATGGTAAGGATGCTTTGGCTTGCTGAGAGGTTTGCAGCTTTCAGAGTGACCAACAAGGTCCGAACTTAATTCCTTCACCTAAATGTAGTCTGATATACGAAACAGAAGAGAGGGACTTCAGTCCAGCAACCGGAGAGAAAACACATTACTGACTCAGTTCAGCGATGATCAACAGGCAACTCCGAAGCGCGATATCATTTGTGATAGATTGTAGTTCCTCCGGAGCATCAGTTTCGACCAGTGCACGTCCATTCACCGCACCACGTTGTCTAAAACGATGAGCCAGATGTATCGGTTCTCTTTTCTTCTTCTGGCCTGTGCTCCATCCTCCTGAGAGAAATCGTCCTGCACGGAGGCAGGGAGCGGAAAGGGCTTGGATCAAACTTGCGGGAAAGAGGGAAGGTGCCAGCCGAACAAGGTGATACGACAGACGGAGGAACAGCTGACGCTCGTTAAGTGGAGATACCAAGGGGGATGCTGGTGACTTGGCTCGTGAAGTGAAAAGATTGGCTTCCGGTTGTCCTAAAGAGGGCGGTGCTTGAGTGGTACCTGTAATTTATCAAAATCACGGAAGAAGATAGCGGCAGAGCATTCACTAAAAGAAAAGACATACGACTATGAATATAAGTCGAAAACAAGCAGGACAACTTCGAAGATGTGCATGCCTGATAACCTGTCACAGTGAATGTCGGAAGGAGGATGAGATACAGCTCCAGGCATGGTGACGTGAATGTGCTGATCAGCGACAACGATGTATATCCGGTGTACCTACGCTATGGTTGAAACATGAAGACGAAACTGTCTGTTGATCTACAAGTACCCTAAGAGCAGAAGAAACTTACAGATTTGTGTGCATCCTTGGCTTGGACGCCATTTCGCGACGACCTTTTACCATCTGTTGACTGCTAGGCGTTAGCAGAGGACAGACTTATATTTACAGTGAACCTATTCGTAGAATGACGAAATCGACCCATATTAGAACGGTGGTCCCCGGATAGGACACTCGTGAAGTACAAGGTTGTAGAATGTCACTAGAAGTATTGTTCAAAAGCTTAACCTTCCAGATTTCCGAACCCCCTCATTTCGGAATGGTAGTCCAGATACGTACCAGTTGAAACAACTCTACCGAGTTCGAAAACGGCGGAACAAAGGTGGCTTTCTGGACTCCATTCTGTCTCATCAACAACATATACAAAAGCTCTTGACGATCATGGAGACTGATGGAAACCATCACTAGTTAATTGAATGCCTTATTGGCCACGACGAAGCTGCATGGTTCAAAATCTGTAGACAGATTTGGTGAATGTGTAGAAGTTGCGCATGTAGGTGTGGAATGGAAGCGACCAACCACAGCATTTGTCTCGGCAATATCGCGCTTTTGTCCAAACACAAGATGTTCTGAAACATTCAAACCACCTTCAAACTAAAGATTGTAGTATAGCCCGTTGCGAATGTCTCAGCAACATCCTATCTTGAATGACTTAGGAATTGGTATTGTATTGCTGTCGACTTAATCGTTATGTTATATATGTTATATATATTTA